ATGGACGGATGATAATTCGAGCATTTCTGAAATAGCGCCTCAGCAGCGTTTCACGGGATGTGCAATGTGCGGAGGAGCGCCATCTTGCATAAAAATGATTTCATCCACACATCCATGCTGTTGCAGACCTGGAATCACGTGGTTGCACAAAAGAGACGCATACCTCTGACCAGTGACGGTTGCGGAACAGGACCGGAAAAGCACCCGTTTGCTCGAAAAAATATGGTGTAGGATGAATGATGCCGTAAAGCCACACCATACCGTGACCCTTTCAGGATGAAGTGGTACGGGGTGCGTTGCCAGTGGATTTTCTGTTGCCCATATTCGACAATTCTGGGTATTCACGTATCCTGTCAGATGGAAATGGGCTTCATCTGTCCACAAAATTTTCCACGGCCATTCATTATCCACTTCATGCGAGCCAGGAATTCTAACGCAAACGTCTCCCTAGCTGTCAGGTCAGTCAAGACGGAAGCAACTCCTGCACATGGCCAATTTTGTACGGTTAGCATTGCAGAATGTTTCGCACAATTTTCAGCACTGTGCTCATAGGCCTGTCCAATGTTCGGACAATCCTCGTGCACTGCACGGTTGCACACCACCGGCCGACCCCTCCTGTAATGCTGTGGCCACTTTTTCAACTACCGTCGAATGCACTCGTTTTTCTCCCTCTACAGATTGCACATCAAACGAAACTTGTCGTTTTCGAATTTTTGCATCATTTTCTTTGACATACGACACTCATTGGACCAACGCCTTCTTTTATACCCTTCAGTGTCCTGAATTTTTGCAGAGCTACTCTTGACAATCATCATTCTTGTAATACAGCTTTACCAGCAGAGCGCAGTCCTGCAGTGAAACACCCATGGCGAACGTCTGAGACGCGAAATGAGGAACAGCCTGGTATCTGGTGGCTTTATAACACTGAAATTTAACTAACATTTTAATTTAAGTCTTCTTTCGCTTGCAGCGCCATCTGTTGCTAACTTTTGAAACTAAATTTTTTCTTCTGCCATACGCTTTCCGCCTTCTTCAATAACATTCCTTTCAAATTTGACGTCATTTTCATGAGTGGTTCTTTTTTTATAGCGGTTTGAAACTTAAACTTTAATTATAATCACCCTGTACTTTGCTGTCACGTAATGCTTAAATTTAGCGAAGCATACTGAAGCGTATTCCAATAATTCTTAATTTTTGACAAACGGAATAAAAATTCAAATTGTTGTGCCCTGGAAGCCCAAATAAAATGGAAGCCCAAGATGAGCTTTACCAGTTCTTTATTATAAAACAAAGAACCATACCCCAAACTGGTAACAGGTATCGTTATCTTTAATAATTACATCATACAAACCATCACCATTTTAGTTCGAGATGTATCGCTTCTATATGTATTGCTCATTTGCTTGTAACAGTATCAAATGTATGCATCGGAACAAAAGGAATTTTGATGCACATGCCCATATGTAAAATGTGATTATTATTTAGAAATACGATACATATGCATATATACTGAGCAAGGCTTTACAGTCTCGTGAATAATCATAAATCTTGTATAAAACTTCTAACGACAGATATATTGTCAACTTGCATTTCAACTGGTTTCAAATATTGTTCTAATTATTAATTGACAACAAATCTTGTAAACTCACTTACAAAAGCCCTAAATTTATGTACTGTATTAGTTAGTCTTTATCATTTTTCTGCATAACAATACGTTTTGTTCATTTGTTTACGGCAGTATTAAATGTATATATCGTATCAATAAGATTTATCATTCTTCTGCGTAATAATATGTATTGTTTATTTGCTTGTATTAAATGATTGAATTAAGATGATTAGAATTTTGATGTACATGCCCAGCAAAGTGTAAAGATTATTTAGTAATATAGTACATACAATATGCGGACATTAATTTCCAGGAGTGACATACCTGTACGGAACTTGTATTTGGTAAGTCGTTTATCTGCGCATGTACATTGAAATTGGCACCATTCAGAAGCAAGCGGTTGTCCTTGAAACACGCATTAAAACCAAATCGTAGCTGTTCAATTTGTGTTGTCGAAAGTAATATGCAGCATAGAATTAACAACTCTAACGGATATGGCAGCTTCCGACCTGAGGCTATTTTGCCACATGGAATTAAGTGCCGCCCCACCGCACTTACAATCTTACCATGTTGCGACCCCACAGCGCAAGGGCAGACAAGGCAGTACCCGTACGGTCCCTGCGAGCCTTACTCTGTTCCGAGAGCCCTCAGGCCTTCTGTGAAGTCTGCTTTTTTTATCACTGTGGTTGAGATTGCCTAGGTACAGACCCTAACCAGTACTTCCCAGGCGTTCGCCTGAGTCAACCCACGGGGGGGGGAGAGCATAGAATTAACAATAAATTCTGCTTCAAACTGGACGAAACTGCCACAGAAATTCATGAAGTGTTAAAACAAGTGTACGCAGAGGAAGCGATATTCCGTTCACGCATGGCTTAGCTGTTTTCGGGACTGCCGCGAAAGTATCGAGATGTCGCGCAAACTGGACGGCAGCATTCCGTTCGCACGCCAGGAACAATTGAGAAAGTTCGTGAGCTTGTGACTTTGCCGAATAGCTATTCAAGTACTCGCCAACGAACTCAAGACCTCGGCACCATCATGTCACAAGTACAAGTTACCCTACTTACGCCCACTCATTATAAAGACCTTCTCTATCGGAATTTTTGGATTGCCTTTTTACAAATTTTCTTTTCGAAATTTACCTTGAAGTATGTTACCAATCCCTGCAGGTGCTGATGGCCTGTAAAAGTTCGTAAGGGAAAATCGTCCTGTCATACACCATTTTAAATCCGATGAAGGCGTGACCACCTTTTAGGAGGCGGAAATATTTCATTCTGTATATCCGTCACCACCGGAGTAACAAAGCCTCCCTTCCGCTGCGAGTGAGGTCACTAAGCTAGGGACTAGTAGGCATAACAAACCGTCACCGCTCCTTTCTGTGGTAACGTGCAAGCATGCATGTAGTTTTAGCGGGAGATTTGTACATTGCATAAAAGATTTAATAATATTTCATTTGTTAATAACCTGTTGAAGAATGGTTTATACTTGTTGTGTTCCTAACTGCAGAGGAAACTATCCAAACACTGAAAAAGTACAGATGTTTTCTATACCCAAATCGGATTCTTTGCGCAGAAAATGGCTCCGTGATATTCACCGGCAGAATTTCATCCCATCACAACATTCTAAGGTACGTACAGTCAATTTTTTAAACTTATGATTTTTTTATTGAAAAAATAATTAATGCATTTAAAAAATATTTATTTCTCGATCAAAAATTAGGCCTTATTGTTGCTTTTTTGATATTGATTAAACTTCTATATCTGATATTGTTATTATAAACTTAATTTGAATTCTATAATATCTGAAATTAAATACCCTGATACATAAATCAACAAATAATACAGTTAGACATTAATTCTAAAGCATTTAAATCTGTAATGAAATCTAGTGAGATATTAATTAAAGTACAACATTTAAGTTAATATTAGGTGTTATTCCGGTGGTGACGGTATATCTCGTTACTGGCACGTCTTCTAATTTACCGCTTATTTATTTATTTATTTCCCCCCTCCGCCATATCTTACGTTAAAATATTCTCCTTAATCATCATGAAGTTAGCTTTAAAGAGGATATTCTTTCTCCAATGAAGGTGCGGCTACCTTTGATGGGCAGGGCCTTCTACCACGTTCGTAAATCTCGATATTATTACAGCACCTACAGTAGTTCTTTCATTAATCTTACTCCGTTCCTTCATTCAAGGGGTAAAAATAGCTATCATTATAATAAAGAGGTTTTTATTTATTTATTTTTTTTTATTTTTATTTTTTAGTTATTATTATTTTTTTTTTAAATATAAGACTGACTTAGAGGTTCTTGTGTGGCTGCAACACAAAGTGCTGAAACAACTTCAACGATTCAGGAACCAGTGATGTTAATTTATCCTGGACTTCCTCCAACGATGACCGGCGACCCCAAAAGGAAGAGCCGTTTGTAATCCCATTACTCGTGGCCGATGCTATTCGCACCAACATTAATCACGCATGCGCATTAAGTTGTCAGATCCGTCATTTGAACCCAACTGAAAAGAACGGATATTACGTACGCGAACTGCCTAAGTATTGTAGTGAACCTTTTTTTTTTTTTAAAGGCGGGTTACTACCTTGGCGTAGTTTATCATTTTTTAAGCGTTGGCGACTTCATTAAATCCCTATTTTAAATAATCATTTACTGAACCATCATTAAATCGCTATTTTGTATAATCATTTCCTGAACATTATCATGTGTACAGATTGACCGCGTCTTTGTAACTGATAATTATTATTACTTGCAAATTATTCTCTTGCTGGTGAACTATTAACAACCCTTTCTATTGTTGAGTTACGGTTAACAACCTGCGCTCTCGCTACCGACTGCCTTACGGAAATCGGCGTAAAATGCTGGTACCTGGGCTGATTGGGCTCATGCGCGAACGTAGGTGGTGTGAATAGCTTTTTAGCTATTCGCTCCGTCGGTGCGATTAGCCTTTGCGACAGCGTCGGCCGCCTGGTATATAGAAGCCTTAACCAAACACACTCACCACACACACCTGGGAGACACTATTTAAAGTAAATGTACACAGCCTCTTTCCCTTTTGACTAAAGGCATGGACTCAATCGTATTTTTAGGAAATTTTCTACTTTTTTTTTTTTTTACCCCTTTCTATAGGCCCATTTTTATTTTTTTTTCTTACATTACTATGGGCCATTTACTTTAATTTTATTTTGTCCCATGTTTTTCTTCTTGGCATTTTGAATTCGTATAAAAAGTGCGAAGTTTCTTTTTCTCTCTCCTGTGAACGAAATTGCCCGTTTTCTATCTGCCTTTCCTCCAGCTAAGCTTGATTTTTCGCCCATCCGTGTAGAAAGACTTAAACGGGTGCAAAACAAGACATCTTTCTACTTTGTCCAGAGAATAGACGTTGTTATCTTCGTCTGTATAAAATGGAGTGGGAATATTCCGTTGCCTTCGGACTCATGCGTCTGGAAAAGACGAGCAAGTATCGCAGGCGAAAGGTACTTGGCTCGCTAAGACCTGAGAAAGTTATATTGCCGACATATATTTTTTCTCAGGGAGAAAGTTCTGAGAATGCAATACTTCAGAGGAGAGTACAACGTGGGACGAGTAATTGAAGGTTCCTGGATTATCGGAATGTTTCAGAGGGAAACAAAAGAATTTCGACTCGAAATATGGCCAGAGAACAAACGATCTGCAGATACTCTAATACCACTGATTAAGGAATACGTTGCGGAAGGTACCACCATAAAAACTGATGAATGAAGGGCGTATTCATCATTATCCAGGCACGGATATTATGTGCACTAGACTATGAACCACACAAGGAATTTTGTGAATCCGGTGACTGGTGGACATACCCAGTGCATAGAATTCAACTGGCGACTGCTGAAAGCCAAACTCCAAGAAAGCGGTCTCCATAAAGAAAACCTTGCTGATCATCTACTGTATTTATTTCGGCGTGAAGTGAAACGCAGTGGTTAGGATATATTCTTGGAAAATTTAGATGCGGTCAAAGACTGTTTCCCGGTTAGTTAAAGGTCTCCGTCAATTTTCTTAACCGCCTTTTTTTTTTTAATTCTCTTTTCAGGGCCATACAAATCTAGTAAAGGATATATGCCACTTTGCTTATCAAAAGTATCATAATAGTCCTAACAATAATGTAAACGTAAGTATAAGAATACTAGGATTAAACCAAAAGGTTCTGATCAAAGAAGCTATCAAAAATTCTTTGAAATTAAGAATTCAACTGAAAAATTGTTGAACAATGTGAAACAAATACAGACAGAATAGCTGTTTGTAAGAGATACAATTTCATAAAAAATGTGAATATAAAAATATTTTTATAAAAAATTTCAAAATTTTTAGTAGTTTAATTTTAGTGCTAATTTTTAATAATTATTTTAGGATTGATTAATGAATTAATGATTATTTTACTTGAAAAGTTTAAAACTGATATGACAGCTTGCAATATATGCAATTTCACTTAAGAAAATTATGTTTGTAATGGAAATTAGTTTAATTAGCTGCAAAATGTTCACATTAACCTGAGCAGATGAAATATATCAGACACTGACATTGGGGCAGGCAGATGGAGAATCTGCTGACATAATCATATGACAAACAGAAGCAATACATTTCCTATAACTCTTTATATCTTCCAGTACTGAACCTCTGATGACTCAGTTTAGTGTTATCATTTTCACTGCCACTAGCTATAAGATTTTCATTTGGTATAGAATCTGCTGACATAGTGATCTAATGAATAGAAATAATAATTTACATATGCCTCTGTTTTCATTTACTGAATCTCTGATAAATCAGTTCAGTATCACCAGCATGGTTGCCACTGCTCAAGGTTTCAAATTATATATCTGGGTTTGGAGCAGTGTACAGTCAGGTAAACTGATAGATTTGTAACCAATGAAGCATGTTTCATTCTAAGATAGAAACATATTTTACATAGAGAAAAAAGACTTCAAAATGAATTTTTCAAACCACAAAATTTTTAAACCATTATAGAAAAGTCCCTTACTTGGGTGAATTGTAAAACACATTGATGCATATTGCAGAACGCATCTGATTTTCAGATATTATTGAGGTAATATAAATTTATGTTTTATTATAAATTAAATTTTTTTTTTTTTAAATCTTCCTTTTTCTGTTATTAAGATTGCAAGAATATTACTTTGCACCACTGAGATGGCTTTCACCCTCATTAAACCATGTGGAATTGTGCTACCAATTGAAAATATTGTTTGAATTATTAACTGTGAAACCAGTGTAAATAATGTGTATGTGTATAATGAAAAGTTAATGTTGCGAGATTTTAGAATGGCCATAGTGAATAACATGATGCTTTGAGTTGCTCATTTTTCCTTGTTATTCATATCTCAAGAGGTGCAGTGGCTAGCGCATCGCACAGCAGCACTACAGGTCCGGAGTTCAATTCCCAGGCGGGGCAAGGTCGACTCAGCCTTTCATCCCTTGATTTCCATCACTTGAATCGATAAAATGAGTACCAAGTTCGCTTGGGGACTAAACACTGGGGTCCTGCGATAAGCTGACCACTTGTTCAGGGCATATGCTTATGCAGCCCAGGGCTCATGGTTAAGAAAGCAGATTTCGGGCACTGCAGGCCTTGGCCCATTAGGGCTGTTCCGCCACTGAGTTTAGTTTTAGTTTATTCGTTATCTCATGTAATATTTAGAAGTGATATAGCAAAGTTAGTGATTCCTACAAGTGCATTGTATCTTACAGTGGTATATAGCACTCGCGTAATAAATTGTCCCAAATTTGGATATGTAATAGCAAAATATATTAATAAGATAATTAAAATATTACAAAGAGCAACTAATTAATACACTAATATTCAGGTTATAAAAACAAATTATGTTCAAGTGCTAATGCGTAACCTCTTCATATAAATTTCTGAGAAATGCATTTCTCAGTATTTAAAGATACACACGCACACAGTAAATAAATAAATAAAAGTTAAATCTAATGGGTTTTCGTGTACTTAGAAAGATAAAATACATTGTAGAAGCACTTGATGCTTGTAAAATATCTAAAAGAGGCATAATATTTGTAATTGCTATATAATACTGAAGGAAGTATTTTCATACAGCTTTTTACTTTATCCATGCATTTATGCGACATGATATGGATACTGTCATCATATAAACACTGCTGTATATGGACAAATATAAGTATAAAGAGATGCAATTTCTTATTTGATCTTAATCTTTGTTAGAAACCGTAACTGGCTTCATGCAACATGTCATGTTTTTGGACATTAATTCAGTTCATTTTCTGTTTTATGTTGAGCTGTATAGCTCTTTTGAATGTTTCTGGCTCATACTGCCCAGTTTTGTAAGGTTAGACCTTTTCAGATGATGTTTTGCTGTACTTAAACAATTAAATATAGTGGTCAAGGATTTCTTTTTTGCCACACAGCATAAATCTATTACTATATCAGGAATGATAGAGGTAAGAAGGAAACGAGCTGTGATAAGTCTTGTGTCAATGACGAGTTGATGCAGTATTTCTGTGGATATTTTGGGAAAGAACTAAAACATTTGTTTTTTATGTGGGCTAATCTTTGGAATATGGTAACAGGTAGTTTTGCGACATTTTGGTAAGGCGATAAAGGTTACCAGGTAGGACTTTAGCAATAATCTGAGAAGTACACGGTTCGAATAACAGATTATTTTGTCTCAGAGAAATGAGAGATCATGAGACATGTCATGTGACATTTTCCGGAAAATTTCGATTGTGATTTTAGCTAATAAGCACTTTGAAACAATGTCACTGCTAAAGTGCAGAATTGCCCACTTATTTGTTTGGCGCTTTTTACAAAAGTAACAAGAATTCGATTTTTGTAAATTTTCTTTGACTTTTTAAGTGAAAATATGAAAATAGGTCGATGTGTACATGGATAAAGTCAAGAGTATGCACAATGCCATTTTTGTGCAATTCTGGGATGTTTTTTTAAGTGAAAATAGGTCGACGTGTACATGGATACCGCGTATGTGCAATTCTTAAAAACGTGCCAAGCTGTGGGCGATTCTGCACTTTCTCTCAATTTCGCACCTAATCTTCGTCGTGATTAAGCACTTTTGTTTCATAAAAGTTCTAGCATAAGCATAATTCGGCTAGCAGATCGTTGGGCGGGGGGGAGAAAGCCTATAACAAAATACTTCCTAGCCTAGCTAGGAGAAAGCCTAACAAAATACTTCGTGAAAACAAAATGGCGTCCCCCAAAAAGAAGAAAAAAAAACAAAAAAAAAAAAAACTAGCAGGTTGCTGTAGCAGGGTTGGTCGCCAAGAAATCGCCAAGTTACCATTATCCCAAGATTCACCTTTATGTTTTCTATCACTCTTTTTATGTATTATATATTCTCCTCTCATAACTTGGAAAAAAAAAAAAAGTTAACAAAATATAAAAAAAATTAGTACAATAATATGCTGGTTTAAATTATAAGATATAATTTATGATCACTGCGAAAATACTTAGAATGTTAATATCATAATTTTTTGTTTGCTTAAGGATACTGAAAAACTGCATGAAATTGGTTCTCTCTCTTTTTCTAATGCTTGCATGTTATTAATTATGGTAATGAAATGTGTGACAAAATAAATAGATAATTAAAAATATTCAAAAATTTTTTTTTTTTAGATTGGAAGTGAGATATTGTACTTTGCAACAAGGTGTAGTGGGGGCAGGTTGGTTATACCGAGAACATGGAACATGGATGCATTATGATCTTTTTTCTTGAAATTTGATGGGTCTGTATTTGCATTATGTGAAGATGAAATGGTGCAAGCAGAAGATGATAAAATGTTTGGAAATGCAAGAATTTTTATGTGATGTTTTAACACTATTTGAGTGTGGAAATTTTTCTGTAATGGCTTGTTAAGGTAAAGTATAATAGATATTTGTATGCATGCTGAAATGAAAATTTTTTGAAAATTTATTATTTTTAAAGTTTATCTTGTGTTATGATTATCCTAATAATATATTAGAAAACAAGAGGCAAAATTATCAGGATAATTAAATTAATTAAAGTTAGCTTCATTAAAAATGCATACTCTTAGGATTGTGCTAAAAAATTTGGAAAAATTTTGTGTCTTAGGATTTAGATAATTGGAAAAAGTCTATTAGATGCAAAGCAATAATGTAAATAAATAACCTTTATTATTTTTATGCTAAATTTTTGCAATTAACTTCTGATTGACAAGAGTAATGACGTGGACGACATATACAGTTAAAGTCGTGCTTAATTTGATGGCACTTTGAGAGACCTTAAAAGTCCTTAGGTTTTTTTTAATCGATTTTTGGCCCTTAAAAGTCCTTAATTTCGGCAAAAAGTTTTTAATATTAATCATCTGAAATTTCTGTCTGGTTTTCAGACTGCTATTTTGAGTGTGAATTAGCATTTTGGAGGAATATTTTTGGTGATTCACTGATGACTATGGTTATCTTTTGAATAGGTTCATGGGTTATAATTTTTTCCTGTTTCTTATATAAATGGTGGAGTACTCGAGTTTCTGAGCAAGAAACATAAGCATTTCAAAATTATTTAATTTTTTCTAATGAAGAGCTCTTAAACAACTTTTCGCTTTTGGAAATGTGAATTCTTTTATTAAACGGTTCTAAATTGGACGACTTATCAACACTTTGGCGATTTTAAGATTAGTTTCTATAGAAAATTTTTAATTCCGAGATCTGGGAATTTTTCGACGATTTTTTTAAAACATTGTAACATTGATAAATTTCATTAAAATAAATGTAATATATTGCAATTATATTTAAAAAATAACATTGAAATAAAAATATTCATCAAATTTATAAATTTTATTTTTTGCTGTCATACTATAAAGTTCCATTTTGGCCATTATACGGTATTTTGAATCTGAAAAATAAACAAGGTGTACAAAGTACAGTTTACGAACAGTTCTTAGCAAAAGCAGCTATGTAATTAATTAAAAATGTCTTTTTAATTTTTTCATGGGAAGAGTTTTTTCCATGTAATTCTCAGAATATTCATGAGTTTTCTCTATAAAATTAATTTTACACTTTTTTCCTCTCTGATTTTTTCCCAAAATATTTGTGGCTTTTTGCTGTTACAGAATTGGCAGAGGTAATTTTTCTTTTACATTTTAGACATTGCAAATTGGAAAGTTTAGAAAGATTTGAAGGCAAGATTTATAGACCCACGATTCTAGAAGATTCCACAAAATGTGACAAAATAAAAAATGTCTTCATGGTAATAACACGTAACAAATGTATTCTACGGAAAGTTTGCGATGAATTTCTTATTGTTTGGAGAACGTCTAGAGAAACAATGAAAACATAATATTTGGATGTTTTATTTCTGATACTAGAATCTTTTTCTTAACATGTTTATCTTTCCTTTATTTTCTTTATTCCGATTTGCTTGTAGGCCCTTAATTGTTTTCATTAATGGTCCTTAAAAGTACTTAATTCTGTGTGCAGAAATGTGTTCGAACCCTGTAAAAAAAAAAAAAAAAAAAAAAAAAAAAAAAAAAAAAAAAAACATAGGAAAAAGAAATAACCCATATTATAACTAATAAAAAATTACTCTTAACAATTTATTTGTAGTTTCAAGCAATATAATCTGGAGAATAAATTCATTTGATTGCATAAATTAAATCAGTATTCGGACTTTTCTTTCTATTGAACATTTGCACAAACCCTCTTTTTCTCTGTGTTATTCCCTTTCCCAGACTATGTGTCTTCCTCATTTCACAGTGCATGTGTTTGTATATTTTGGTATTTACATAGGTGTAATATCAAACAGAAGATCAGTGGTGTACATTTGATCTCTTTTTTTTAATATTGAGTAACATAATTTTCATGGATAATTTAACAGTGTTTACATATTGTGAACAGGATTGCAAAATTTATTCTGCAGTGGAAAAAAAATATGGTAAAAACTATTGAACTATTGAAACAAAAGAGAAAATTTAATTTCAAAATTGAGTTGCATCATCATAAAAATAGTATTTTTTGTTACAGCATACAATAACTCATTTGTTAATATTTTAATTAATAAATTTCAAAGAGGAAATTTATTGTGTGCCTGGTAAATTTTGTTATATTGTTCATGTGAAATTTCAGAAGTAACATTCCTTTCTACTATATCAGATTTAGAGTACAGCAAACAGTATCAGAGTAAAGTAAGATTTTTGAAATGATGTATTCTAGGCAGAATCAGCAAGTTTCTTCTATTGGAGAAAATCAGCTGGAAAAAATTTATTTTTTAGCCCAAAAGGGTGTTAATTGAATAATGAGAGTTCAGAAATGGAAATTAGAAAATTATAAAGAAAATGAAAGAAATTGAAAAAGAGGAAGAATCTGCATGAATGTATGTATTTTTTGTGCACTGTGAAAGAGTGATGGTTTGTAGAGTCATCAAATTTTGAATAACATAGTCCTTAACTCGAACATATGCACCTGGAAGCCTGAATTTTGAATTTTATATTTCATGTTTTGTAAAACTTTAATGAATTTTTAACAAACCCAAAGATCTGAAAGTGAGCTGTAACAACACTGTACAGATTAAAAAGATATGTTGTTTTTAACTATTTTGTAATTTTGTCATTCAGCTGAATTTTGGCATAGTTGCTAAGAACAAGATATTTAATTAATAAATATAACACAAAAAATGTTAATAATAAAAAGGGGAAAAAAAAAGTTTTGCTAGCGATCTTTCTAAGAAAACTGTACATTGGTATGATACACTGAGAAAAGACTGTAAAGATAGAAAAATGTTAGCACTTCATAGGGAATTTTAAACACATGCTGCTTTTAAAATTTTTTAAAATTTTGCTGTTGATGCTTAATAATAAAGCTAAAAAGACAAAAAGAAGTGGGTTAGCAGGAGTGAGTGCAACAGCAGACTGGTACACTGCAAGTTCAGCAAAAGCATAAAAAAAACAAACCTTAACAAACCCTTTTGGGTGGTTGTTCAAATCTGAAACTTTTCAGATTTTTTTATTTGCTTATTTTTTATTTGTTATTAATTTATAGTTTATTGATATTCAGCACAGCTATATTACTAATGAATTTAAATATTTTTATTGCGTGTATATTTAACCTTATTTGTGTAGCAGCAATAACCTTCTTTGGTACTAGCTATGTGTTTAGATCTGTACATATTCCTAAAAAACAAATATTTAAATAAGACAGTTTAGAATTCATTTATAAAAGCTTAAATTGTAATTATAATTTTCTTAAATATAATTTTTATTGTGTGAGCATGTTGAAAAGGAAAAATTCTGTGAAATATTGCATCAATAAATGAATAAAAATTTTATCACACTTCAACTGGATTCTTTGAAGAAAATTATATAATTGCTTTGAATTTTATTGCAGAAATATTGAAGCATTTTTCTAGTTTCTTCCATCCCTCCCATTTTCTTCAGCCATACTGGAAGGAACCTGAATTTGATTCTGGATTATGTACTGTATTGGAAAAAGGCAACTTTCAAATTTGTGATTTTTTATGGGTACTTTCTGATTATTCACTCTTCTGTCTCAGAAGTTGGCATGTCGGTGATTAAGTTTTCACCAGGCTAATGCGTGAAAGGCAGCAGCCATTTCGAATTAAGAATTCTATAAAAGAGCAATGAATCAATGAAATTAAAAAAAGCTAGGAACATACATATTAAAAAACATCTATTTTGAGAAGCCTTATGTAATTTCTTTTCACTGCTGTTCTCTCCATTTAACCAGCAATCTGTTTTTGCTTATATTCGTCATTGCACATAGTCTTGTCCTCCTTATCTAAACAGCACTTTTTTTTTTAAAAAAATTAAAACATAAAAAAAAGAGGGAACTGCACAACTTTGGCATCACCACAAATTTTGAACTATGTAATTCGATGGTTTGAGAAGTACAATTTCAGTAAAATTTTTACTATTGGTAAAAGTACTATTGGATGAAGCGTCATAAATTTGAAGAAATGCAACACTTTCTTCTTCATCACCTGGCAAACTCTACAGCAGTGATTCTCAACCTTTTTTGTTGCACCACATTCTTAACCTATTTCAAAATTTGGCGGCACACAAAGAAAAAGATAAGTTTAAAAGAGAAACACGCTAATGTGACAATCAAAATCGTAAAAACAACCTTGTATTTAGCGTAGGTATAATGAAACACTCAATCGATTTCGAGGGCAGCTAAAGGTCCCTCCTCATCAGGAGAAAGAAATTCTGTTTTAAAAATTTAATTATTAAATGAAATACTTCTTTCCCTGTCATAGTTTAAAGTAATATTACTTTCTATTTTGGCGACTTAAAAGTATTTTGATTCGTAACAAATAAGCATGATAATAAATTCTGTAAAGTAGTTTCCAAAGCACTTCTCAGTAACAATAAAAAAGCTGCTGTAGTTATTTTAAAATTAATTTCATTTGACCTCTTTTATATTTTTCCACGATAATTGCTTCAGAACACTGAAAATCAGTTATCTCTGTAAAATTGTATTTTCTGCATTTAAAAGAAAAAAAATTGCTGCCTTTTTGCTCTTACAAATTTGGTAGGGATGGTTTTTCTTTCAGATTTTAGACCTTACAATTCGAAAGGTTTAGAAGGATTTCAAGGCAAGATTTATAGACGCACGATTCTAAAAGTTTTTGCAAAAATGTGACAAAATGAAAAATGTCTTCATGGTATTAACATGTAATGGCTTATGCAATAGGAAGTTTATGAAAAATTTCTTAATTTTTGGAAAAATAATAAAAACAAAATTATTTTGGTTTTTCCGTTTTGATCACAGAAGTCTTTTTCTCGACCTGTTTATCCTCGATATATTTTCTGTACTCTTCATTACACACAAGCATTGAAAATTTCAAAAATGGTTTTAAACTTGTCATATATCTCAACTGTAGAAAACAGTTGTTCGGTTGTAAAGAAATTGAAAACTGACAATTTAAAAGATTAACATTATTTTTGCATATGTTAGCCACATCCTTAATTTTTACCTGTAATTTAAAAAAGAAGTGCTTGGGGATAAGCCATTGATAACTTGTATACTAACTACAATATTATTTTTGTTTTGGAGATGTGAAAATATCTGAAATGAAAACTGTATTTAGCACACTTTGAGATAAAATTTGCATTTGTTTAGTTGATATGAACTGATTTATTTTATATTCAACTGATAATTTTTGTGAAAACTTCCTTCAGTATTTTATTTTATAAAACATATGTCTAATGTCATATATTAAGTACTTGATATAGAATTATTTGATTTTCATCCTTAAAATGCATAAAATGTGCTTATCAGAGAAACATAATGCCAATTTTAGAAATTTGGTCATCTAAAGAACGATATTAATCACTTTTTTATACTTTCATTAAGTTCTATTATTTTAGGTTCTATGATGTTTTGTCCTTGCACTATCCCTCCGCCCTAAAGTAGTGTTGGTCCTTGCACTATCCTTCCACCCTAAAGTAGTGTTGAAATTTGTTTCTAACAATGTAAAAAAATGTTTGAAAGGTCTATGTAAGTCTGTAATAAGTGTGAATAATTTGTCATGAATTGTTTCTTTTGACTTAATAATTATGTTACAAACTAAATTTTGTCTCTTTGCATTGTATGTAGATGCAAGAAAATATTCAGGAAGTGAAGAGAGTAAATTTTGATAGAGCTTTTGATGGTATGTTTTAATATCATAATATATATATATATATATATATATTTTTGATGTTGAGTTTCCTATGTTAAAACTTAGAATTACTAAATGCAGTGTGACTGTTTTATTGATTAGAGAAAATGGCATTATTAGTGTTATTAAAAGTATATACAGTGCGAAGTCTGAGGTCCAGAATTGTGAGGACTTTGGCAACTCTGAATTTCAGAATTTTCTGGGCTTTTGATCATCAATTTAAACCTTGCAAAATGACATGTAGAAATTATAAAATTAAAGATATTTTTTATTATTGCTTTAAGAAAAAAAGTATTCCCTATAAAAAGATTTTTAAAATCACCACCACATGAAATTTAAATGCGACTTGAAGCTGAAATGGCAATATTTTCTGGAATTAAAGCCATACTACAGATATTTGCAATCCTTTGATTGATGATTGATGCATTATCATTGTAATGTAAGATTTCATTTATATAATTTTCTAACAGCATTTCTTCTTAAATTCCATTAATTGGAAAATTTCGCTTTTTTATTTTTGATATCCAGAAACTTTTACATTTGTGGCTTTCTTCATCGTCATGAAATTTGATACCTGGCTGTATGCTATGCCAAACATTTAAAAAAATATCTGCAGACATGTCCTCTCATGATCTTGCAGTGCAGATATGAGTTGCACACATCAGGTTTTATATTAAAATATTTCTGGAATTCAGGGATGAACTTACTGCTGCATAGTTTCTTAAAAAGCTGCTTTACATCTGCATTTCAGTGTGCGTAAAATTCTGATATCTATTAGCTAGTTTACAGACATACATTTTACTCTTTTCACAAAAATTGTAAATTGTAATTTTGATAAAATTGGTAATGATAGATAAAACAAAATAATAAGCTGATTCAAATTAGGAAGTTAAGAATGAGTGAATTTGCTCGCTACATTCCTTTCCAATTAAGTATGTCTTGAGATGTCACATATTATTTAGGTCAGACAGAAAAATGCTACTTATCCCACAACCACTCAAGGGCTGAAAGTGTGTTCTGGGCTAATGTTAATGCAGTACTAATCGTATTGTCATTGATCATGGTGTGATCTCTAACCAGCAGGTCTTTGAAAGTGACATTCAGGGATCTAATCTAGAGAAAAGTTACTTTTACTGTACATACCTGTTTTTTCTTTATTATATTCTTCATTCCTAGATTTTGAATAGAAAAACTTTTTCTTGTGTGTGTGGTCCAGGTCTTGAATGTCTGTATTTCAGACTTTGTACTGTATAGTGAATGCTTTAAGTTAGCAGTTCTTAATCTTTTCTCTCTCACATATAAAACTTTGTAAAATTGAATATCCATAACCTTCTCTTTTAGAAATGACTCCTTTCTTCACCTCCCTTATATTATTCCTGCAATATATATTCCTGCCTTATATTATTCCTGCAATTGCTGTATTATTTTAATACTTGAAAATTAATAGACTGCAGTGAATGATGTCAGAAAAGTGTGATGAACAAAAGATGATTATTACATTATTTATTTCAAATAAATACACTGATAATATGATACATATTTAAAATAAAAATAACAATTATTAATGTATCATAATTATTTTGAATAATAGTTTTCCTAAAACAAAAATGAAGAAATGAGTGAATTAATTAATTTATTGACCATTGATGAGATCTAGGCCTATTTTAAAACCTTAGTCTTGAAATAGTGTTGTAGCATATTAAAATAATAAACCTATAATTATTTTAAAGTGATTTAATGTATAACTATATTCATACTAAATTTTTAGGCTTAGGTTTATTTAACTTTCTTAAGCCTGCGGTACAACTGTAGTACCGCAAAATTTACTTGCTCTTAAGCCAGCTATGGTACAACTGCTGTACCAAGCTTTCCATTCCCCCTTTTAGCGTAATTGCCTATCTTTAAATTCTCTGGGTGGTCTAGTTTTCTCTTCAGAGCAGCCTCTGGCTATGTAATGTTTCCCACTTCTTATCTCCTTGGCTAAGTTTTGGCGAAGACCGTAGGTTTCGTCTCGCGCCAATGTGCTTGAGAAAAATACAGATGCTATCTCTCTTTCAATTGTTAGAGCTTTTTCTCGTGATTTCTGTGTAACTCGCGCTCTTATTCACTTCTTATAATAGCACCTCGTTTCAAAGGTCTCAGTCAGGATGAAATTAATAAGTTGCTAAGAGATTTAGAAGAGGAAACTTTTGCTGATACAGATTTGGACTGTTCAGATACAGAAGAAATATGTTTTAATCAATCTTTTAATGAAGATAAAGTTGCCAATAACTTTCAAAAGCAATGCTTCGATAATTTATTTGAATGGAGACAGCCAAGTGAGCATGGCAAAGCAAACATATTTTTCTTTACTGGTAAACCTGGCATAAAAACTGAATTTTCGGGAATTCATTTTGCTGTTGATTTTTTTAAGTTATACTTTTCAGATGAATTTTTGTTATTTTTGTTTAATTAATGTTAACCATAGAAACTAATCGATATGCTTCTCAAATCTTAGAGTTGCGGCCAGATATAAGCGGTAAAAGAAAACATGAAACCGACTAGAGGCCAATTACATCTGATGAGCTTCAGAAATTTTTTGGATTAGTCTTACTCATGGGACATGTTGAAAAGCACAGCATTCGAGATTATTGGTCCGTGGATGATTTAATTGACACACCAATTTTTCATAAGGTAATGTCAAGAGACAGATTTTTAATGATTTTAAAATTTTTGCATTTTGAAAACAATAAAGAAAAACCCGATAAAATTATGAATTATGACAGACTGTAGAAAATTCGAAAAGTTTTTGATCATTTAAAAACAGCTTATAAACAGATTTACAGCCCTGCAGAAGAACTAGCGATAGATCAAATTATTGTCAAATTTAAAGAGTAATATTTAGACAGTATATCCCAAAGAAATGCAAGCAGTTGGGTATAAAATTATACAAGATCGCTGATAAGGAAGGGTACACCTACGATAAGGAAGTTTACCTTGGGAAAGACAAATCTAAGGATCCCAGCTTCTCAGCGTCTTATGATGTCGTTAAAGAAATGAGTGGCACTATTAGAGACAAAGGCCATAAATTAATTATGGACAATTTCTTTTCCTCGCCAGAACTTTTCGTTTATTTATTAAGTGAAAATAAAATTAATTCATGTGGAGCTATTCGTCCAAATAGGAAGCATTTCCCAAAAGATGTAAGCAAAAGAAAATTGAATAAAGGAGAAACCACTGTGCGTTTCACAAATGGGATGTCAGCTCTATGCTGGAAAGATAAGCATGACGTTTTCATGCTGTCAAATATGCACAATCCAATGATTATAGCCGATGAGCAAAGCCCGAGATCATAACATGTTACAACAAAAATATGGGCTATGTTGATTTAAGCGATTGCATGGCCAATAGTTATACTTTTGGCAGAAGAACTTTGAAGTAGACGAAAAAACTATTTTTTCATCTACTTGACCTAACAGTGCTAAACGCGTACATTCTAAGCAAAATAAGCAATATCGAAAAGAATCACAAAGTTTTTCGCATGAATTTGATTAGAGAGCTGATTCATTATTCTGATCTTCAAGCTCATACGTGGTCTCCATCAAGTCGAAAAAAACAATGCAAGTATCTATGCTCCCATTTCCCTTTTGATACAAAGAAAAGGCGAAGATGTGCTGTTTGTTCAGCAAAAGGTTTACAGTGGAGATCAACTGTCATATGTAAAGCATGTGATGTAGCACTCTGCATAAACTGTTCTGAAGCTTATCACACGTCATTTCAGAAAAACAGTTAACTCGAAAAAGTAGCAATAGTCAAGTAAATGAAAGCAACCTTCCTATAATAGCAAAAACAGAACAAAAAATTTCTAATATCACATCAGAAAACAAAATAAGAATTTAATAGAGCATGTCTCTATTAAAAGCCTTTTTATAAGGGTCAAAAACTAAAAAGAAAAAAGGGGGAGGGGAACTACACTCAGATGGTCACAACGAACGTAACATTGAATATATAACTCTGAATTTTTCATGTGAAAACAACTAGGTTTAGATACCGGTGAATGATCTATCTGTATGATCCTTTTCGTAGTTTTCATCGTTAAAAACGTGAACGTGAAGCCAGTTCTTCTGTCAGAGTCCTTCACGAAACATCACCTTTTCAGCAAGTAGTACTATTATACTTAATTAAATAATCTGTCTGACATTTAAGCTTCTTCCCTTACACCAGTAAATATGGGATTTAGTTACATCGCTACACTCAGTTGTTATGTAGATAAAACTATTGACAATTTCGTTTGGTAATAGATAGTTCAATATAGGTTCAATACAAGTGAATAAACAGGCTCCATAAGATTCCCCCCCCTTGTGTAACGTCATTATAAACCGCTTTCTTTCCAAATGTCCTCTACTAAGGTTACTAAGGTTACATTAATTAATTCAGAAAAAGCAACTCGAGGGCTATTTCTCTCTATGGTAGAGATGTTATCGTGGAAGACTTTTTTCTAAGGGAAACTCTCTCGCATTCAAATTATACATTAAGAAAACCACGAAAATCTCTCATGTTCGTCTGGATTTTAAGCCAGGGTCGAACTACCAGTGTTTAGAGATGATTTTACCGCTCTTTCATCCTAGGTAGATTCCTTCATGAAGGCATTCATATTTTGAGGCAACTTATAAGGTATTTTCTCCCTCCTTTCTGCATGCCTTCAGGGTGTAATGGTTAGCAGACTTGGTGATTATTTTGAGAGATCCAGATTCCGATCCCGATGAAGGCATTGCACAATTTTTCATGTCTTCTGCTTCAAAAAATAACCTAATGACTCTATAGTGGTGCACGAACTAAAAGGTGATGGATGGTGATTTAGCTATTGGGTCTCCAAGGGCAAGTATATAAGGTATTTTCTCCCTCCTTCCAGCATGCCTTCGCGGTGTAATGGTTAGCACACTTGGCACATATTTCGAGAGGTCCGGGTTTGAGTCCTGAGGAGGGCATTGCTCATTTTTCACATCTCCGGTATCAAAATAGCCTAATGACTCTAAAAATTAATCTTAGCTTGCTTTGTCAACCTCGAAGTAAGCAATAAGCATTTCTTTATTATAATAAACTCCATAAAATAAATAAAAAGGTTTATCACTTGGCTAATAACATTTGCTAAAGATGCATATATTTATATTATGTTTCAAATTTCAGCGATCTTGCACTCTGTTCGAGATTTAATGTTTCTAAAGCTCCTTTTACAAAGTAGGCACAACTACTTTTTTAGGGCCTGCTTTACACTTGAGGCTTAAATCTAATATGATGTTACTTTGGCTTTTCTTGCTGCCGAGGTCATAAAACTGTTCAGTAATGTTAACTCCGTTCGAACTTCTACTGTTAGGCATGCTACTTTCTCTTATTTATCTTTTTGTGATTTTCATTCATTCTTAAGTAAGTAAAATGGAAAAATCCACATGTAACCAACCTGTTCTTTGGGATTTGTTAAAACTGTTCTGAAAAATAATTTTGATAAATTTATATTTTCTAAAATTTTAAATCATACATTAAAATTCTACTCAATATTAAACAGAACATAAAAACAGCTTTAATAAAAACAGCTTTCTCTCTCTCTTTCTACGGATACCACAAAAATGCGAAGATTTAAGAAATTATCTCATCAAACTTCACTTCACATTGCAGTTATAAAATGGATTGCATATATGGGTATTTGGAGAATTTTTTAACTGCTAATGTAAACAAAATCCAGCTTTATAAAGAAAATTCTCTCTACAGATATACCTCCTTTGCCCGATAGTCCGAAGTAATATCTGTTAAAATTATATAATCAAATGCAACGAATATATATCTGATTTTCTTTTTTATATTACAATAACTTAATTATGAAACAAAAAGTTTTAAAGTTGAGGAGGGCATTATTATTGGTACAAGTTCATCTCAAAATCTAATAGTAATGAATCATATTCTAAACATCTAACAGTAATGAATATTATTAATGAATTCATTATTATTATTCATCAAATTATTCATTACTGCTATTTTATTAATGAAAATAAATTATAAAATATTGCATTCCGACCTGCAGGCATACAAAGCTAGTTCATATTTGTTATATTTTGTAATGTTCTGTTCTCTTTTCCTAATTTCTAATAAGAACAAAGAATTCACATAAAATTCACAAATTATTACCAAGATTGATCAGAAGTAGTAAATGTTATATAAACATTGTATACATTTTGCTCTTAATAAATAAATGATCTTTAGTTTAAATTAAATCAAAATAAACCTCGAAAAAGTCTCAAATATAGTAACCTATTTCAAACTATTGTCCAGCGTGCAACAAACATGTAAATTTTACTGCATCTATGGAGGGGACAAATGACCACCCTAATGACTTTTCTCATTAGGAAACAGTAAAGGAGGGGGAAACAGTTTTTTGTATCGTGCTGTCCGAAAGGTTATATTATGAGAATTTAAGCCCAGTTTTAGAAGGTTAATTACAGCAAAGTACACTAGGGCTATCTGGCCAGGGAGAGGGATGCTTTCATGGAGGACTTTCTAAGGGAAACTGGCTCGTATACACGTTACACATGGGGAAAAATCACGAAAATGCCCATGCAGCCAGGCCGTTCGTGGGATTCGACATACTAAATTTAAAACCAAAATTAAGATTCAATCTTGAAAAGATTGCAGTATATTGTATTGTTATCAACATATTCAGAAAAAAAATCTAATGTGTACACCACATGACTTCATTGTATGGAATATTAAATTATACACATTTTTCCTTGCATTTCATTTAAACTTATTGGATTGAATTAAATCTTCGTTGATAGCTCATAAATCACAATAGAATAATTGTACTCTTTAAAATTCACTATATTTGTTTACCATAGTGACACTCTGGTGCTAGGTTCCCTTAACGGCATTACATTTCATTCATTTTATAACTCAGAATGCACAAAATTTATATTATCTGAAGAATTATCTAATCATTGCCACATGCACTATTCAAATACTATAATAAATCTAAAATGATGTATAAAAGAAATTGAACAAACAAAATAAACAGTTTTTCACAGATGATTCAGTATTTCTCATTCAATTAATTCAGTTCTCAGTTCGTGACAAAGCAAAAATACATAAAAAATGATCATTTTTGATTCACTATGACAAAGCGGAGCAGCCAACATGCAATAATTAAGGAATCAAGTAATATAAATAGTGTGGTTGGGGTTAGATACAGCTAGTTACATTGCTTTCGTATACATTTTGGCCAGTGACATTTTTCATGTTTGGAATTCCTCGTACTTACCTTCCTTTTTTATTCAGTGACAAATTTAATATATATTCATTGCAACATGTTGTTTTTTGCCATTATTGTTAGTTTTTCCGCATACCCCCTAAGCTGTCATATATCACAAATTGCATACCATAGGTTGGGAGCTGCTGCTTTTAAGTATTCATACAACTGCAATGTTTTCCATTTATTCAATATTATAACAACATTATGTTTCCCCCCTAAATTAAAAATAAAAATCTTGTATTCAATTTTTCTCTATTTTCTCGGTGACTTCTGCAGAAATAGATGTTTTCTTTCTGAAATATAATTTTCAAATCATTTTTATTTAATATGATATTGATATAATGCAGTAATGCACAATGGCATTTTTTTAATAATCAGTATAAGCTGAAAAAACATGCATAAATTAGCAATTTATGTAATATAAACCTGATGTTTTTACAATTACTTATTTTTGTTTATCCAAATATGAGTATTTTTTATTTCTGAATCTGAAGTATTTTGTAAATGTTTTGTGGGTTTCATGCCATTTTATTGGAAAAGTTATAAATGTATTTTTCTGTATGATAAAATAGTCACAGTTTTAGTATTATTACATGTTGTATTTATTACATGTTGTAGGCTTGGTGTTATATTTTAAATACTTTTTGAAAGCTTTATTTCAGAATTCATGCATTATCTATTTTGTTATTCATTAATAATGTATGGGCTTCTTTCTTCTACAAAACTGTAAAAGGCTTTAACACTAGAACAGCCGAATTTCAGACTAACCGAAAACCGCCATTGGGGGTCAATTTGACCCTCATAAGAAATGTAAGTAGAAACACAGTAAATGATTGAAATGATGCGGAAATGACCACATAAAAGAGTTTTTAGAGGTTTTTATTTATTTTTTATGCTTTAGAATTTTTTTCGTGCAATTAGTGAAATTAGCACACAATATCTTTCAATGTAAGATTAACAAAAACAAAAAAAAAATCTATGAAAAACAAACAAAAGATACAAATGCAAGAAGTGGAAAATAGAACATATGCAAAAAATTACAAAAAATCATAAATTGGGAATAAACACACAATGTTTTCCAAAGTTTGTTATACATTACCGCAGGTGATACAATATGAACTCTTGACAGTGACAGCAACACATTTACCACAAATTGTTTCTGGCATCCCTCACAGCTGACAACAGTCTTGTTTTGTCCCTTGCAACTTGAAATGCACATTTCTTTTGTTTAAGTATCTGTATTTGAGCAATTGGGGGGCATCTGTTGCGTAGTGCACCAACTCGTAGTTCTTTTCACGAGTGCAAGAATAAATTCTCGACGGGAAATAGAGGTGCCCAAGTTTCTTTGAATATAATCCAAGCATTGAGTGCAGCAATGTCAAGGACGTTGTAAAAAACATGTACAGGCCACCTGCGACTTCCACTACTTGTACAGTCAAAAGTCGTTAATTCGGAAACCCATAATCCGGACCTCAAAGCTACAAACTTTCTGCGCATGCGTCCGCGTAAGACCTTTACGGCTGCGAATTTGCATGTGCGCGTGCGCAAAATACGTTTACGAATGCGCGTTTAATGTATAAAGGACGGGATAAGCTAAGATAAAATTATCTAATTATCTATTTCAGTTAATGTTGCAGATTGCATTGTTCCTTAATCTTCGAATTGGATCCGGCTTATTATTTTTTTGAAGACTGTTAGAGCAATTTTATAAAAGTAAGCTTGAACTTTCGATTATTTCAAATAGAATTTCCGATATATATATACTAATATGTAAAGGATATAAAAAGCGAAAGTATCTTTCGGAGTCCATTAAACAAAAAGTGGAATTGCTGCAAAAAATACCCATTACTGAAAAAACTGATAAAATATGTTTTTAGTTCCATGGATATACTATATAAAGTGCATTTCATTATGTGAGTGATATTATGTCCAAATAGGGAATATCCTTGAAACTGATAACCTACATGCTGTGAAGACTGGGAAATATTATTAATTTTCATTAAACAGAAACACGTTTAAAGGTTTCAAATCAGAAAATCCGTCTGAGGATTGGTAAAGATTTTATGGATAATTTATTGAATAGCTGGGCAGCTTACCATGACTTCTGCATTACATGAGCTATTCTTTTCTTGGTAGCAGTTCCTCATCTGTAACACCTGTTAATATGCACACTTCAGTATAATACTCAAAGTGCAAAGTATGCCTACATCAAAATGTATCGCTGATTATACTGAACTTGTAGCTGTTGCAAAGAAAAATATAAGTGCAGCAATTACCAGAACTTAACCCACAAAAAACAAGCTAGACTTCCCAATTATTTTTTTAAATATTGATTATCCAACAAAGTAAGTAAATTTGTGAAATGATGTAGTGTAATTTAAATCAGCATTTAATAAATTAAAAAAAAACTTTTTGCTTTGCTAATCAGCATTTAATAAATTAAAACTTTTCACTTTGCAAATGCAATTTTTCGAAAATATAGGGTGAGCACAAAAGCATTCCCTAATTTCAAGGTGTCATAAAATTAACAGTTACTTGAATATGTTAATGAATGTGATATTCATGACTCAAAAATTTTTCATTTCTTTTCTTTGCAGAATCATTAGGCATGACTTAGGCTGTTAGAGGGCAGTGACATCGAAAATACCATGATACCACTGTAATGAAGCTGGTATTAAAATTTGCAAATACAAGCAGTGTTGTGAGAGTGCAGCATGAGTTCAAATGAAACTTTGTTATTGATCCACCCACATACAAATCTATTTTGAAGTAATATAGCATTTAATGAGACAGTGTGCTTTGTGATTAATATTCTGGCCAACTTTCCATCTCAGAAAAAATTGTGGAGCCAGTGTACACAGCCCAAAGAAGCCAACATATAAAGCCAGCAGAGAGTTACAGGTGCCACAAACAACAGTGTGCAAGCTGTTAAGTAAACGTTGAGGTTTCACCTGTGCCAACTGCAATTGGTTCATAAGTTAAACCAATACCTTCTTAAAATTTATTATTCGTAACTCGAGGCATTCTCCATGAATTAGAAAAATACGCTTCTCAATATAAAAAGAAAATAATTCAGTTTTTATTTGAGAAGCTATCATTGCTCTTTTTGCATAAAAATAATAAGACATATAGTTTGATCTGTTAATAAAGTTTGATGCAACAGTTGTACAAGTATATGAAGCATGGGTTCACTCTCTTTCACTAATTTTAAAGTCTACCATTCATGGTGAAATTACGATAAGTCAGACTGAATGTGAACAAAAAGATGGATGTTGACATAGAAGAACCAGAAGTATCTGGATTCAAACTTATTTTTAAGTGTATAAGACATTGCAAATATTAAAGCTACTCCACTGACGTATATAGTGTGTTATTGTGTACATTCTGTGATGAAAAAATTAGATTGTACATTTTGTAAAAATCATTTGTTAGTATCAAAAGAATTTGATTTCATGTGAACTGCTAAAATGTTTAGACTATGGGAGGCTGAAATATCGCATGATGAAGTTATCACTATTATTATATCTAATTACATTCTCATATATATTATCTTTTGAAAATAAATCTATTGTTTTGAAATGTAAAAATTATAGGGCTTTTACAACCCAGCTTGCTACAGAATTATTATGTAATGATAAAAAATATTTCCCATTTGAGGCATTTGGAAATGAACACTCGCCTAACAGACTTCTTAAACTACTTCTGCATATGTCTGCTAACATATCCCCCAAGATTTACTGTTAAAAAATAAATCTAAACAATTTCATCTTTTGCATTATTTAACTTTTTTCATATTATATAGGAAATTATCCACTGCATCCGATCCTCGATAAAAAGTGAGCGGGCTTCACACTTTTTCCATCGGGCCTATTATGATATATATGTACCCACAAGCTTCATGATGGGCTGTGTATATGATGCAGCATTATTAGGTTCTGATGATAAAAGTGTGAAACTTGCTCACAGTTATCAAGTATCAGATGCAGTGGACAATTTTTTACATAATATCGTCCACAAAAAAGAACTTGGGGAAAAAAGTAATCTGTATTTTTCCCCGCAACAAAAACTGGACTTTGTAATGGCTACCTTATGTCATCTGTGTGAGAAGCCACTTCATAAGGATCACATTTGTGATCATGATCACCTGACCTGACGTTATAGAGCATTACACAATTTGAGCAACCTCAAATACCGTCTACAAAAAAAGATACCTGTGGTATTTCATAATTTGATACATTATGATGCTCATCAGCTAATGCAAGGATTGGTGAAGGTTAAAGACCACGAAATCGAAGTCCTCGCTACAAACATGGTGAAATACATCACTTTTACCCACAGCAAGAAACATAGCAATACTGATAGTTGCCAGTTTTTAAATACATCTCTGGAAAAATTCGTACAAAATCTGCTTAGCGAGAAATTTTCCATTTTAAAGGAAAATATAATGGAAGGGGGTCTTTTTCTTCTCTTGAAGAATGGTATTTACCCTTATGACTATATCCAGCCCTTCGATATGTTTGAAGAGATGGCCTTAGCAGCTCCTTCCGCCTTTCATTAATAGTTTAAAGGATGAGAAAATTTCCTTGGCAGATTATGAATATGTGCAGGTAATGTGGAAGAACTTCAAGATTCAGGTAATGGAAGAATATCGTGGCTTGTAGGTGAAGCCAGATGCCCTCCAGCTGGTAGATGTAGTCGATATTTTTCAAAAGCTGTGCATACAATTTTATGAAATAGATTGTGCACATGTTATGATGTCGCCCGCTCTGTCCTGGCAAGCATGCCTAAAAATGATTGATCATATTGTGGAACTCTTAACGGATGTATGCATCTATTCATAGAATAGAGTGTAGGAGGTGGAATTTCGGTGATTACAAAGTGGTGGGCACAGGTCAATAATCACTATCTGCAGAAACCAGACACTTATGTATTTAGACGCAAACAGCTAGTACTGTTGGGCGATGCTCCAATCATTGCCATATAGTGAATATGAATGCATGCCAGCGAAAGGAGTGACATCAGAATGATTCTCTCCATTAGTGAAGATTCCACTGAAGGATATATTTTGGAATTGGATTTGAAATATCCTCCCGAACTGCACGATGCCCATAACAATTATCCCCTTGTACCTGAAAAGCTGAAAATTAATTTAGAAGATCTTTCTCCTTTCTCCCTGAACATCCTGCCCCATCAAAATTGCAATAGTCAAATGAAATTAATTACCAGTTTAAAAGATAAGAAAAATTATATTGCATATTATAAGAATTTACAATTTTGTTTGAAGCAAGGTTTGATATTAACAGCAGTGCATAGAATTATGAAATTTAAACAGAAATCATTACTAAAACATTACATTGAATTTAAACTGGAGTAGTGCAAAAATGCAAAATCCACCTTTGAGAAAGATTTTTTTAAGCTATTGTATATTAATTGTATGGTAAAGCTTTGGAAAATATAAGGAATGGAATGAACATACAACTTGAGAACACCCACAAAAAAGCAGAAAAACTGGTAACTTATCCCAATTTTAAAAGGTTTAAAATTTTTAGTGAGAATCTTATTGCGGTGGAGAGATTAAGAAACAGCATCACTTTAAATCGCCCAAGCTATGTGGGTTTTGTTAATTTAGAATTGAGTAAAATTCTCATGTACAACTTCCATTATAACATCATGAAGAAGGTGTACGGAGAAAATGCTTCTCTATTATTCACGGATACAGATTCTCTCACCTATGAAATTCATGTGAAGGATATATATATGAGGATATGCAACATCATAGCAACATTTATGATACATCTGAGTACCCACAATCATCCTCTTTACAGTCTTAAAAATATCAAGAAAATTGGATGTGTGAAGGATGAATTTTCATGAAAAATAGGCTACAAATTTGTTGGTTTGCGACCTAAAGTGTACTCTTTTTTGTCGGAGGCAGAGCAGAAGAAGACAGCAAAGGAAGCTTCACGTCATGTTGTGAGAAACAAAATCATGCATGAAACTTACAAGAAATGCCTCCAAAGCCTGCAGCCTAGATGAGAAATTCAACATAGAATTGCAAGTAAGAAACACCATCTCTTCACTGTTCATTAGAACAGATTAAGTCTATCCCCTTTCAACAATAAAAGATATATTTTTCAAGATGGTTATCATAAAATAGAGGCTGACAAACAAAAAGCAGACTAATAGTTTTTAATACTATCATTGGTCAATGACTTCACAGTGAATTTGTGGGAAGGGGCTGGCACCTGGGAATTAAAAAAAAAACCCACAAGTCTGAAACTGTGAAAGAGACCCTCAGGTGTCAGAAAGCTGAGGCTTTCGATAAAAGCCTATGTGTGAATGATTATTATGTGTGTGTGTGTGTGTGTGTGTGTGAAATGAAAGGAGTATTATGGAATTTATTCTTTGCAATATTTTTAACAGTAATTTAAATTCTTTGCAGAAGATGACAACAGATACACTCTTGTGTCATCACAGTAATCCATAGTTGCCATTACTGCAGTTACCGTTATCATGGTGGCCATTGCCACTTGATGAACCTAAACATTTTGGTGTTGCCACTAATACATCTTTGATTCCATGGCAGCAGCATGCGAACTCATCCACTCTACAATCTCCACCTTTTCTGGTGCTATCAGGGATGACGTAGCCTCCCTTGCAGTAACATTACTGGCCACACCAACACCATGTGCAGGTGAACCTCCACTTTATATATACTGATACATGAGATGACGTAACAGAGAAGGAAAGCTTTCAGATGTAGCTGTTGATTCTACATAGTTTTATTTCATAATGGAGAAAGACTTGACATGCATAACCATATTCACAAATCATCATTTTGAGTGCATTATGCACCCTCATAATTTTATATAGCTTACATCCTCTTAGATAAAGGCGAGTTGGAGCAATGAATGATGCATGTCTTAGCAAGTAGCGAGTGAAGCAGGAGAAAGGGGCTGCATTTTGGTAGTAGCGATATTTATAGACAAAAGTTTCTGTCACCACACAGAGCAGATGTCGATCAAAATGAATTCGCTTGCTGATTGGAGAAATGCATACACAACGCTTTTGTACTGCATTAATAGAAATTGGGCTTTGGATGTCCTATCGGCTTGAAGTAATGTCCGCTAACTTAGCGAGAGCTAGGTCATGAATTAAATATCAATCAACTGTAACATTTAAAGAGAGTTAGATGAATTTCATGCTGGAGTTTACTCTGAGAGTGAGTTTGAGAATTCACAATATTTCCCACGTGCTGAGAGGAAATTATTCAGTATCCGCATTCTGCTCAAGTTATTTGCTGTTATTTTTTGTGCTGTATAGATTAAATTTTTAGAAGCTTTTATCTAATATACTCATTGTGATTTGATTTTCGAGTCTCGCTCTTTTCGATGGAAACTCACTGTGCCAAGTAAGTTCCAAATACCACTTTGCTATTTGTATTTACATCTTTATCATCACTAAAAATTATTATGCACATATACCTACAGAACAGCACAGTACACCCCGTCCTCCTAGGCACAGAACAGCGCAGCAGACACACACTCGCAAGGGGGGAGGGACTATAAAATTGGACAGCATAAAAAGGGATTTATACCGAGAGTAAAAAATAACCATAAACAAGCAAACAAACAAAAAAGAAAGAAAAAAAAAAAAAAAAAAACATACAAAATATAAGCGCTGCTCATATCAAAATTTCCTTTCTTAGAGTTACAATACCAGACAAAAGCATTCTAATACCCATATACACTGGTGTGCAAAAATTAAGGACAAAGTCGAAAAATTAGCATATCAGCTGAACGAAGAGGCAGAGCGGACAGAAAGACCAATCAGGAGATTAAGTAAGGTGATGTACGGTAGCACAGTGCAGATATGCAGGTAGAAAGACGTAATGGGGGAGTGTCTGAGTAGTATAAAGCATGTTGTCGTGTAAGATCAGTATTTCTGGCAAAGAGATTGCACGCCGTATAGCAGTTAAAATCACACCGAGTTGCTGCCTCAGCGAGAAATGGCGAATAATCAATCTGTTAGACGACATCTGGATGCTTTTACCCAAGGTCGAATCATTGGGAAGTTGGAGGCCGCAGTGTGACAAGTGTGGCTGCAGAGTTCGGAATTGCTCACAGCATCGTTTCACGACTTTGGAGACAATTTCAAACTACAGGAACAGCTATCCGAGGGTTTAGTAGTGTTCGTCCACGAGGAACCACACCCGCAGATGACCGGTATATTGCCTTACAGGCCAGAAGAAACAGGCGGCAGACAGCGGGAGAAATCGCTAGACACACAACACAGGCGACTGGACGACCGATATCGCGTTTTACCGTGGCCAGAAGACTGCAAGGTGGGTGGTCTGTTTTGCACGACGCCCTGTACGGTGTGTACCTCTAATGCCTGCCCATCGGAGAAGGCGTTCTCTGTGGTGCCGGGAACACCGGAATTGGAGAGACAAGGAATGGGGACAAGTACTCTTTACAGATGAGAGCAGATTCAGTCTGAGTAGCGATTCTCAATGCATACTCATCTGGAGAGAGCGGGGAGGCCGCAATCATCCCTCGAACATCATTGAAAGGGACAGGTATGGAGG